TTCGGCCTCAGTGGATGAGAGTGTAACGCATTTTTGCAATTTCGATTGCTAAGAAACTGCTGCTCCTGCAAAGGTCATCAGATATCCAAAAGTTGATTTGTGCGAATCAACATCACCACCCATATCTGCATCTGTGTAACCATCTAACACAGGTCTATTATCACCAAAACATAAGCAGATTTTGAAAGTGCCCTTAAGATACCTGAGAATCCACTTTACCGCATTCCAGTTGTTCTTTACCTGGATTTGAAATGGAAATCGGCCTAACAACACAACAGCCATGAGGCAATAATCTGGTCTTGTATCTTGTGCATACCATGGCGTACATCAAGTTGCCAACGGCGGATGCATAAGGAATCTTCTTCAGTTCTTCTTTTTCTTTCTCACTTGAAGGACATTGACTAAGACTTAATTTGAAATGGCCTGCAAGCGGAGTACAAACTGGTTTTGCATTGCCCATATTGAATCTGCTAAGAATTTTCTCGATGTATTTCTCTTGAGACAGCCACAACTTTCTCCTTTTTCTATCTCTGGAGATCTTCATTCCAAGAATCTGGTTTGTCGATCCCAAATCCTTCATGGCAAAGGATTTTCCAAGCTCCTTTTTTAAGCTCTCAATTTTCTCAGCATCTTGGCCCACAATAAGCATATCATACATATAACAAAGAAATAAAAAGTCACCCTTCTACGAACTTTTTCAACAAATAACACAATGATTCAAGAAGTAGTTTTCTCATACCCGTGATTCACCATGAAAGAGTCAAACTTCTTGTACCATTGTCTGGGAGCTTGTTTGAGGCCTTGTTTGAGGCCATACAAGCTCTTCTGCAATTTACACACCAAGTGTTCTTTGCCTTTGACTCTGAACCCTTCTGGTTGCTCCATATAAATTTCCTCCTCCAAGTCACCATGGAGGAAAGCAGTCTTTACATCAAGTTGCTCGATCTCCAAATTCAAGCTAGCTGCTAATTCGAGCACAACTCTGATAGAAGACATCTTGACAACGGGTGAGAAAATTTCTTCAAAATCAACTCCTTTCTTCTGACCGAATCCCTTCACAACCAGTCTCGCCTTGTACCTTGGCTGTGAGTTGTTCTGTTCAGACTTCAACCTGAACACCCATTTATTCTTCAGTTGAGGCAGTTTCACCAACTCATATTGATGGCAGTTTCACCAACTCATTAATCTGGTTCTCTGACAGTAACTCCATCTCATCTTGCATTGCTTTCAACCACTCATCTTTTAGAATTCTTCCATGCCTCCTGGTAGTTCTCTGGTTCTCCCCCCTGAGTCAGACGAAGTTTCAGTAGCTCATTAGGAGAATATCTCTGGAAGTATCCATGCCTCGCAGATCTTCTCAAGTGAGCAGTTCTTCTATTGGAGGTTGGTTCAGCACATTCTGAATAGTTCATCATCATCTTCTTCATCATTTTGTGGTTCTACACGAGGTTCTGCATCAAAGACTAACAGGAAACTCAATTGATAGAACTTTGGCTTTTCATTTTTCTCAAAGTCTTCAATGGTTTGATCTGTCCAGGAATACGACATCTCTGTTCTTGAAGCTTCTTTTCAAAACTGTGATCCCATAAATCTTACCCAAAAATTCATTCATTTCCATAACCCAAGAAGATACCACGTTTTGACTTTGAAATCAAGCTTGGATCTTTCATCTTTTGAATATGAACCAAAAGCCCCTGCAAACCAAATATTCTAAAGATGATTCGTAAAGAAATATTTTTCCTGACCACATGACCACACCTTTTCTGGTACATCTCCGTTGAGGGAGGTTGAAGGTGAAAGGTTGATCAAGTAAACTACAGTATTCATTGCTTCAGCCCAAAAGGTTTTAGGAAGTTTTGCATGAGAGAGCATGCATCGAACCCTTTCAACAATGGTTCTGTTCATTCTCTCTGCAACTCCATTCTGCTGTAGAGTTTTGGGAACTGTCTTCTGAAGTCTGATGCCGTGTTCTGAGCAATACTTTTCAAACGGTCCTCTTTACTCACCACCATTATCAGCTCTAACACATTTTAACTTTCTTCCCGTTTGTCTTTCAACACTGACATGAAAGATTTTAAACATATCCAGCACCTGGCCTGGTTGTTTTTTGACTTATTGGAAAAAGCCCACACCTGTCTAGAATGATCATTCAATAAAAGCTAACATAATATGAGCAACCACCAATATTTGCCACCCCATTGAGCAAACATCAGTGTTGTACCCAATTCTCGAATACCAGGTTTTTAGATGGAGGAAGGAGATCTTGAAAAAGGAAACTCTATGTTGTTACCAGACAAACAATCCAGTGCAATATTTTAGAGCAAAACCTTTCAAAGATAGCATTTTCTTCTTAGGTGAGAGTCTCCATTCCTTTCTCACTTCAAATGACCAAAGTCGTTTGTGCCATAACTCAGCAGATGAATCTCAACTGCATTCACTACTCCTGTTGCAAAACTTAGCTTGGTGTAGTAGAGGTGTTGAATTTCTTCCTCTACTTGAACACCAAGTTACTTTGGAAAGCTCCCACTTTCTGTTAACAAAAACAGATGTGCATAGCCCATATTCATCAAGGACTATGAAACTGAGATCAGATTGAAGTTGCTATGTAGGAGTGTATCTCACATCTTCCACCAGAGATCATAACCAGCATTGGTTATTGATGCATTGATGCATACTGTTCCAATGCCACAATTTTCCACATATGTGCCATTCAAAGTCTTGACATGGCCGTAATCTCCGAGGGTAAGAGATGAGAAATATTCCTTCTTTGAAGAAATATGATAAGAACATGCAGAGTCAATAATCCAAAGAGATTGTTGACTGGTGTAGCATTCACTAAGACCAGCATGAGAAATCAGCGCACTACCATCACCAAATGCGTCAGCATCAATAGCTACCGAAGCTACCTCCGTATCGTCTTTTTCCTCATCATTTTCTTTGGCTCGTTGCTTCTTCCACTTTCTGCAGTGTTCCACTTTCTGCAGTGCCTTTGGACGTGACCGGGCTTGCCACAATGATAGCAAGTGACTCCTTTTCTTGACTTGGATCTTCTCCGTGAATGGTCACGTTTGTCTGAATTTTGGGGGTATCTTGTTCTGCTTCTCCCCCTCCTTTCTGTAACTGTAACGAGTGCATCTGAGTTGCTACTCGTACCATTCTCCTTCCGTCTGGTTTCTTCATTCAGAATGCTTTCCTTAACTGTGGTTAAGGTCAGATTCCCCTCCGATACATTACTGAGCGTAACAGTCAGTGTCTCCCAACTGTCCGGCAAGGAACTCAATAAGAATAGTGCCTGCACCTGGTCGTCAAACACTATCTTTGACGTCAGTTGGTTCACTATTTCTTGAAATTTTGCCCAAGACTAAGCACTTTCGCCATCTCTGTATTTTAGATTTACAAGGCTTTGTTTAATTATGAAAAAAGCTTTGTTTGTGGCATTCTCCCTGTACATGTTCCTCTAACTTCTCTCCAGATTGAATAGGCATCTTTCTCATGAGCGATATGATTTATGACTCATTTCAATAGACTGGCCTAATATTGCGACTGCTATTCTATTAATCGGACTTTTCAACTCGCTTTCATTTATGAAGTTGTCTGACCCCTTTTAACTTCAATCGTTTCAAAAAAGATCCTTACAGCATAGAAGTCTCTTCCATTAATATACTTCCATACTGCATATGTTGATGAGTTAGTCTAACCATGTTGCCGTTGTTTTGTCGTTCCATTTTTGACTTGTGCAGAATATTAACCACCTAACAAGAAACCGAAATAGTAGTATACGTGAATAGTGATCGTATGACTGAATAGTAATAGTATACGTAAACAGTACCTGTATGCGTGAATAGTACTATGCGTGAATAGTACTATGCGTGAATAGTGCTGGGCTTCTGAGGGATAGACTCATCAACAGTAACGCCAATAGTACTGTTCACCATCAACTTGTAGTTACTATTTTACTATTCATCACTAAGTCGATTTTGCAACTTCTTCCCGAACGGACTGCACCAATGGATTCGGCGTAATTTTCTCGTCGTCGTGGTATATTTATTTTCAAAATATATCCACGGATCCGGAAAAACCTTCGGCTCTGATACCACTTGTTAGAGCCCGGCAATAAAATTACGAGAGTAATAACACAACGAAAAATAGAAATATGACACACAGATATTTACGTGGTTCACCCTTAACTGTTTAGGGCTACGTTTACGGGACAAAAATCGAATAATTCTTCCACTATTTAAAATAGTAGGCTTATAAAGAGAGTAATACTAGTAGCCTCAAACTATTGTCCCAAATTATCCTCACTATTCTCTCTTACCCGCGTTTTAGAACCCAATTCTAAAAACTTAATTCTCTCAAACACTCTCTTCGGTTCGCTCGGTCTGTGTGTGCTTGAAAGCTCTAGCACCATCTCCTATTTTATAGGAGAGGTGAAGCTTGATTAGAGAGGTGGAAGCTTGATTAGGAGAGGTGGAAGCTTGATTAGGAGTCACCTACCAAAGACTTTTTTTTTTTTTTTTTCTTTTACCTATCATTTTCTATTTTCCACAAAGTGTGGGTCCTACCACGTTTTACATTCTTCTCTCTTTTTTTATTTGTTTCAAATGTGGGTCCCATTGAATATTGAATGTGCACCGCACAACAAATCCCAGTTCAGGTACGCCAATCAACCATACAAATCGAACTTTGTTTAGGATTCGCAAAAGAAATCAGGCCGACCCACAACGCTATAAAAGCTGTCAAAGTCGCTAACGTTGTGGCCTAGACTCTCCGTGGAATTTCCTGGTCACCATAGAAGGACCAGCTCGAGCAAATCTGAAACTACTCCAAAATTTATTCGGTTCGCCTTGCTTGTAAGTCATCATGTGATTGGACCTTTCTGTATACATATAGGAATTCTATTTTTTGTTTTTTGGTTTGTTGTGTAATTTGGTGGTTCTGGTTTGTGATTACAAGGTCTTTAAGGACAAAGAGTCAATATTGCATAAAATCACCGTTCATGGGAAGAATTGGCATTGTATTATTTATTATGAGATTCCACTTCTTTTGCAATTACTGAAAACAATATTTCAATTAGTGATTAAGAGGAAAATTTATACAAAGGTTATGCCTTTCTCCTTCTTCATCTGTCAATTAAAGGAAGAACTGAGTCTCTAGATTATAGTGTTTAAGCTTCATTCTCGGTTTCTTGTCAAAACTGGCTCAATATCTCAAGAGCTTTTGATACTTCCTTCATTGTGGGTCTTTTTTCTCCCTCTAATATCAGGCATCTCCTTGCAAGCTCTGCAACTCTCTCAAGTTGTTCAGCATTTCCCTCATCTTTCACTCTTTCCTCCAAAATATCGAAAAGCATATCATTCTTTAATGAAGAAATGAAATACAGGGCTAGACTCTTCTCCTCACATTCAGAACAAATTGCCTTCTTTCCAGTAAGCAATTCGACAAGAACTACTCCAAAGCTATAAACATCGCTCTTTCCAGTTAGTATTCCTGTTTGGAAGTATTCAGGGTCCATGTATCCAAGTGTCCCTTGAACCAATGTAGATATCTGTTCTTGATCAAAAGAGACTAGTCTTGAAATTCCAAAGTCGGACACTTTGGCTGTGAGTTCATTATCTAGTAGTATATTTGTGGACTTAACATCTCTATGGACGATCTGCATTGAGTGCATACATGCAAGTGCTCCTGCAGTCTCCTCTGCCATCCTTAGTCGTGTTTCCCAAGGCAATGCTTGGATAAAATCTTTGTCATGAAGATGGTGGAAAAGGGTGCCATTGCTTATGAATTCATAAACTAGTAATGGAACTGAAGTCTCTAAACAACAACCCAAGAGTTTCACTACATTTGGATGATGGATTTGAGAAAGAACGATGACCTCATTGACAAATTGCTCAATTTGGGTTCTATCTATTGCCTTAGACTTTTTGATGGCAACTATTCTGTTATCTGATAATATTCCTTTGTATACCACACCATATCCTCCTTGGCCAATGACCATGTTCTTGTTGAAGTTATTGGTTGCTTTCTTTAGTTCTTCTTCTGCAAATATTTGTGCTGCATCATTTGAACTGTGGCCTTTGAGTAATTTTTGTAACAAGATGCCTCCGTTTTGCTTGAAGTATTTTTTTCTAAGTTTTGTTGCACTTCGTCTTCGGATTATCAAAATAACTGAAGTACAAACAAATAAAATGACAAGGCCAATGCTTGCACCTACAAGATATAAACAAATTTTATATGCAGGTTGAAAAATATAGGGATTGGATTAGCCTGTTGATAAACCTTATTTGAGAAACTCACTTTAAACTATTCAAACTGATTCATAATCACCCCAAGAACAAACAAAAACATTGTGAAAATTTTTTTATATTACCAATCATGACTCCGGTGCGAGTCTTTAGAATAGCTTTGCAACCGCTTCCATCTTTTCTCCCATCCCCATCATACCAACTGGGGCAAGAACAAATATAATTGCCGATAGCGTTCTCACAAACACCAGCACAATTGTTGAGGCTTGGAATTTCACATTCATTTACATCTGTCACACAATGAAAAGCCTGATATATAATTATTGAAGCAATTGCAGTAAGGTGTATAGACAAAAAATTTTAGATACCTTTACAGCCATTAGTAAGGTATGGATTCCCCCAATAACCCTCAGAGCAGTTGCAGCGATAGCCAAGGCCATTATCAGAGTCATAGCATATGCTATTACTGTCCTTGCAAGCGTAGGTTTCCTGATTTTTTCGTGCATCTTTGCAGGTTTCGTTCCCAATAGCCCAATCAAGCACCACAGGAAATACAGTTCGATTTCTTAAATTAGCAAAATCCAGTGTTGAGAAGTTGTATGCATTTTCCTCAACCACAAAAGCATAGCTACAGGGATTAAAGTCCAATGTACCTGTTTGCTTATCATATAAACCATATACATCCACAAAAAACTGCGAAACTTGTTTTGGAATGTTGGTCTGGCAGCAACCCATGCCAGCGCATGATCCATTCGCCAAATCTGGAGCCGGATCACAATAAGATACACATCTTCTGCTATACTCGTGTGCTTGATCATAGCCTTCTATAAACGCGTCAATGTTGCAACCAATGGCAGTGAACTTGTTCTCAGTGTATGAAATGTAGAATTTGGGTGATGTAAGGTTGGACGATACTCGTTTGGTCATAGTACCATTTGCATTATAACAACCATAAGCTGGTGATGTAGACACTCGAAGTTGGCCCTTGACTGATATGTCAAGGACTCGTATTTCGGTATCACCCAGGAATGCTTTTGAGGCATTATTACATGTTATTAGGAAATCTTTGTTTAGATAGCATTCTTCCTTTGTTCCAAACGGGAATGGGATATTTAAGTCCCCGCACTGGTCTGGGCATCTGGGCTTGGCTTGGGCTGTAGCCTGTGGAGCTGTTGCTGCTGCTAATATTACAGCAAGCAGCAACACTTGCTGACATATTCCCTGCAAGTTGATCTCCATGAGTTGCTTCTTTCTCTGTGCAGTTATTTTTTTCCAGTGCTTTGCCTGCAATGATGATTATGTAGAATTTATTGTCGCTTGTAATTTTAGTTATTTCTTAACTTTCATCGAAACAAACGAGGAGGTGGAAACAAAACGAAATTTCGTAGAAGCTAGCTTCAAATGCAGATACTCAAAGAAAGGTAAAAATACGCTAAAGACGAAGGTGCTGTAGGATCAGTCCATTAAACTTGTCTAATCATAGTCTATAATTTTGCTTCTTTTTAGGATATAGCATAGGAATAGTTTGAGAAACCTTTCCTTTTCTTTTAGAAAAAGAAATATATTAGAAAGGGAGCAGTTGGATAAATAGTAATCATGGCTTGGCTGGCTACATTGTAAAGAACAGATATAAGGAAGAAAAGACAATGAGAATAGTCGAAGTTCTCTTTCAATTGGTAGATTGCCGGCAAGATCGATCAAGATGCTGACGAATAATTAATTTATAACTGCTTATAAAATTTATTTTCATAAGCTTTGGAAATAAGTATAACATATAACAAATAATAACATATATTAAATTCAATAAAACTAATGGTTACAAATTTGCGATTCAAGTAAACAGTCTGATTGGAATAAATGAATTTTACAAAATTTTATAAACAGCCTGATTGGAACAAATGAATTTTACAAAATTTTATAAAATTCATTTGAAAATCTAATATTTTATGTTTGGAGTGAAAAAAAAAAAAAAAAAAAAAAAAAAAACACACATTTAAATTCTATGAATTGAATTATATATAATTAGGTAAACTTAATTTAAGTTCTATTAAAATTGCTGGAATTTACAAATGAATTCTACAAATTAACCCACAAAAATTTTAATTGGCCAAACTGCCCTTATCCCAAATATCCAAACATCTCCTCTTTTAGCGGATCATCTCCTCTCACCTTCTCATCTCCTACCCGACCTCCATTATTACAGCTCACATCGGCATATCCTATGCCAAGTGACTTGCGCCAAACACCCTGAGTGTAATGGAAACAATCATGGGCATCGTCACAACTAGCCTGAAAGATCACTCTGCTCCGCGCTATGTTCTCACCATAAAACAATTTCGAATGCCTGAAAGATCACTCTGCTCCGCGCTATGTTCTCACCATAAAACAATTTCGAATGCCTGAAAGATCACTCTGCTCCGCGCTATGTTCTCACCATAAAACAATTTCGAATGCCTGAGTGCACAGTCGCGGATGCGGTTGATTTACGTAATTTTGTGCAGAAATTGCTATTTTGTTATTCCAAGTCACAGGACCAACCCCAACGACGGCATGAGCTTTGTTATGGGCATTAAGATAGTTCAGGTGTGAGTCTTGGGCATGTGAGGGAAGAATCAGGGCCACATTAATTAGACATGAGTGTTAACAACATATTTTTTGTTTGTGGTCTAAAATAACAAGTTATTATGTTGCATATAATAAATATAATTGGTGTTTTTGTTAAATTATTATGTTAACTATATTTTAAGAAATAAAAACAAATGAATTTTCATTTAAGAAGTTATTGCAAATATAATTTTATAGAATTCAATTGAATTTTTTATTTTAAATTACGAAATATCAAACATAACATATTCATTTGCAAATAAATTCTAATTGAATTCATTTCCAAAGTTTTCTACAATTATGATTCATTTGTTCCAAATAAGTGGAAATTTCGAATAACACATCTAAATTTGAATATTACTGTCACATATAAATTTGAATTAAATCTCACATAGTTGTTCGTATGAAATAATTATTTTATTATCTTTCTATTTTATTTTATTATTTTTTTTTGAAAGTTATGTTTTATGTTACACCATCTCATTTACTTGCACAAACAAATATCAATAATAGGCCTTATTTGGTAATATTACCTATTTTAGTTGTTATTGTCTATTAGCTAGGTTACACTAATACTTTGCACGGATACCTTAAAAGGTTTGATGGCCAATATTGTATCTATGTCACACATTGGCATCTCTAGGACACTCTTAGACATGTATAAGATATTTTAAAAAATGTATCATTATTTATTTTATTTTATCAATTTCGAACACTTTAAGGATACATTTGAAATAATTTGAGGATACTTTTTGAATACCTTCAAAATTTCTAGATAAATTCGATAACAAAAATTTTTAATTGTTAATATATATATAATTTTTAATTGTTAATATATATATATAATATATATATATATATATATAAAATTATTAATAATTAAATAAAAAAATTAAAAGATACATAAGGAATGAAAACTCTATTTTATAATTTGCAATTTATTACATATCTATTATTAGGAAGTTCAAGAATTAATTCACAATGTTAATTTGAAATAAGTAATTCACAAGGTTTTTATCAAGAAATAATCGACAATATTATGTTGAACGAATTAAAATTTAATTTCTTTTAAAAATATCAGAATTGTTAAAATTGTCAATTTATATCTAAATAAGTTAGAGGTATTATGATTTTTAAAGAAAATAAGAGTTTTTTATTTTATATATACAATTCATTATAAATAATTGTCTACTTATTTAAATTATTAATATATTATGCTTATTTTATATAGCGTGTCGGTGTCCTATTTTTTAAATAATTGTAGTGTCTCGTGTATTTTTTTAATAGTTGTAGTGTCTCGTATCCGTGTCTGTACAACCTATAGTGGTTAAAGCAGAAATATTTAATAAATAACTATTTAATTTATAAAAGCCAATTAATTATTATCAAAGAATAACATTTCCTTTTGCTACTACAAATACAAATATTTATATTACTGAATATTATAATAAATAGAGATAATATTTTAAACGCTGCGCTACTTAAAAAATAGGTAAGGTAAAGACAATTCGGTAGAATCCACGGTAGGCAAGACAATTTGAGGAATCTGAGGTTGGCAGGAAAACAAAGAGAGGATCGAGAAAAATAGACAAAATAATAAAATTAGAGAGAAAAAGAAAATTACCATGCACGACAAAATGGCAAAATTTTGTTATATTCTAAACATTCAGATGCCTATTTATAATGTCAACTAGTACATTCTATCTAAGAACATATACAAAATTCAAACAAAATACAAAATTCCAATGAGATTTGGATTCTATCCTATCCTACATGTATTTAAAATACAAAAGATATCAGGGTAAATAAATAACTAAAAATATCTCCTAAATCCAATGCTTATTCCTGAAAATTAATTATCTAATAATTATCAACTTAATAGATGTTAAAAATAATAAAATAAATTAATTTCGCTGATAAAAAAAAGCGTTGAAAACAACGACAGAAAAAGATTTTTATTGTAGTGGGGTAGGTGATCCTAATATCAGTTCATCGTTAAAACCAAGAAAACAATATCTCTATCACTACATTAAGCCATTTTTATTTTCTTTTTTCTCTTTGAATAATTGTATTATGTTCTAAAATTTATTCAACTTTGAGTGATGTGAATATATAGTGAATGAAGGATTTGTAATATCAATTGGAGGCTCACTCTGGGCTCAGTTTCAGCCTACAGTTTTTAATTTCAATTTAGTCCAGTTTCATTCCAATTCATATAAATATAAATGGGCTAAGACAGTCCATTCGCAAGCTTCCAACCTTGTAAAAACTAAGCGGTCCATATAAATATAGGAGAGGGGCGTTGAGTAGGATATGGGGATTGGGGATGATATAAGATTTGGGTATAGGTATTCCATTTACCATACTCGAACCCTACCCATTGTCATCCTTATACTCAAGGTTTTAGTCTTAGTTTCGATTCGATCAGTTTTAAGCCTATTCCACTTTTAAAAATTGGAACTGTGATTTGTGGTGGATATATATGTACGAATTTTTAGCTTGACAAATAAGACGTACATAAAGCTAATTAAATGTGATCTGGTTAGTTTTCACACATATGTGAGGAGTGAAAGGTTTTGAGTTCGAGTCCTCTCGACTATAAGTATTTCACTAATTTGGTGAGTCTAGAGAGTGCTACATCTATTATATAGTCCGCAGTGTGACTTCAGCCTATCAAACCTTCCAATGAATGAAAAAAATATACATACATAAACAGTGACTAAGGTTACAGTTTGCAGAAATTAGACCTACTAGAAGTTTAAGTTGACCAGCTATGGTAATATTTTCTCAAAATTTTTTTTTTCTTCAATTCATCCGATAATAAATGATTTGATTTCATATTTTGAAAAATTCTTTTAAATAGAATCAATTAAATTAGTGAAAATTTATATGTTTTCAAAATATTTGAACTAGAAATTTCCTATTTTCACATGAAATGAAAAGAATAATATTATATAATAGCTAATTAGCCTTTAAAAAAAGGTCAATTGATGATTTAATTGGACCTAATAAAATAACACAAAGGCCGAAAACATACACATATGTGGGATGTTTTTGCAGCAATGAGATGATTCAGATCCCCACCGTTCCTTTCATTTTGTTGTGATCCCAACCAGAAAGGTGGTTGTTTGTCTTTACTTATAGTCCATCTGATTTGAGAAAAGAAAACATAGAACTGTAAATGATTGGCTTTGATGTGGGCCCTCTTTTAGTCTCTTTCACTCATATTTTCACTTGTCCGCAATTTTAAATCCAAGGACACCCCTCGTGCCCTTTTCTTCATCATTGCACCTAACCACAAATTATGTTCAATTTCTTACAGCTTCCATGCAATATATAAATTTTGAAATATTTATTATCTTCTTCTAATTTGCCAAAATTACTACTTTATTTTTTATATTTTTCTTTCTTTATACACTATTGTCCTTTTACAAAGAAAGAAAGAAATAGATATTCCTATTGCCATAAAAAGGGGATGTAGAAACAAAATCAAGTCAAAAAGAGTAATGAATTTTTCAACAAAATTTACTCATGTAACTGTAATTAAGTCTTGAGCCGGATTAGACAGTCCATATTAATAAAGTTTGAATACCGGTGATAAACAACCAATTCTATGATTACAGGAATCAGAATCTCATTTGACAAACCAAAGCTCCCAGTTAATATCAACAAACAAATATTGACCAATCTCATAATTAAAGAGGATTCAATCTATAATCCCATAATTTCATAAAACTAACTCTAGAAATATGGAGCTAAATCTAAAAACTAAAATAATTTAAAAACAAATAAAAATTAGGTCAAAACCACAGTTGAATGAAACCCAACAGGCATATGATATAGCTAAGCAAGAGTAATTCTTAGTAAAGAAGCTGCTAGTGATCCGCTGCTGATGAAGATGATGAAGGTGAAGAGTTGGAAGAGAGAAGCCAATTGGTGAAGTGTGAGAGGGTGGAATCATCTGCTCTATAGTAATTTTGAGTAAAATGAAGAAAATCAGACCAGGTGAAATCAGGGTACTTCCTAGTTTGCCCTTGTGATCTGTTCAAAAGATCTTTATGGGGTCTTACTACCTTGTCTTCTTTTGGACAAAGAAAGAATGCCAGCGATTTCCTCTCCTCGTACTTGTTTACCACTGCCCTGTGAACACAACTCTTGTATATCCCATTTGATAATGCCTATACATCCCAATATGTATATATACATTAGAAAGTATTATTCACCGAAACTAAACTTTGAAGAGAACACTAAACAACGTGAGATAAGAATATAAACACACCATTTATCAAAACTATGGCAATTTCGACAAAGCATATTAAACTTTTTCTCGTATCTTTAATTCTAATAAAAAAGTTTTGTTGCTGATGAAAAAACATATTAATCCATGTTAAAAGTGGTCATGCAAATTACTTGAAAAGTGAGAAAATTAGCCCACAATATGAAAAATTATTGCTTAATTAGTTAGAATAATTCTCAAGTCCTATATATTGAATCTACTTTTATTAATTAGAAATATTAAGAAGTAAAATTAGGATTTATTTTTTCCTATATCTTGAGATTTTATTTTCACGTCTAATTCTGAGTTATTATTATCACCATTATGGTGATTTTATCTAGCGTCTTTTGGATAGTTATGCAGGAAGAAGTGCAGATCTCATTTTTAATAAAAAGAAGAAATTTGAAGGTAATCAAATAGGACATGTAGAAAGACTATAGAGTCGAACATTGACTATGAATAGCCACCAAGTGGAGCAAGCAATTGCCTATGGCACAAATATATTATACTCTATCAACTAAATTAGATAATTTAAATCAAAATTGTGTTTTTATATTCTTTGTATAGATTGTCACAAATGTTGATAACTAGGGCAGCAACTTAAGTTTTTTGTTTTTAAGACGTACCATGAAAGTGTCACCAATGTTGATAACTAGGGCATCATGACGAGGTCGAACAGTCTGCCACATATTATTTGCAAAAACTTGTAAACCTTGAACATGATCTTGATGAAGTATGGTTAGAGACGTTGGATCACAATGCCGTCCAGTGCCAAGAGCAAGACCTGGCTCTTCACAAGGTGGGTAAAAATTACACCTCATTATACAACAGCCATCTTCGAAGAATTTCCTATAATGAAGTCTATCAATTCCCATGCTAATTGCCAACAGTTCCATTATTGAAAGAGACAAGTCCTTCATTTCTTCACAGTATCTTTGATACACCACTCTACCAAAAAAACAAGAAAACAAAAGAAAAACTTTCAAATATGACATGTTGCACAAAATTAGTTGCTATGTTGCTGCCAGGTTAAAACATGGGTCCAAAGCACGCATAGACCTAAAATAATATTAATATATATGTTTGTAAATGAGTGAATGTTGTTATAAGCTTTTTAATTATTTTATTATTATTATTATTATTATAATTTTTGGATAATAAGAGGTCCAATGGACCAGAATAACGTTGTGAGTTACACAGCAGGAGTCAGGGATAACTTTGCTTTTTGAATAACATTCACTAAATTAGGGATAACTTTTATAGTAGAGATGACTCTAACTCGAGATCTTTCACTCTCAATATGGGAAGATAAACCAGACCATACTTGATTAATAATTATTTTATTATTAATGAATGTGAGATTTATTTTCCAATAGCATGAGTTTATTAAAACTCTGACATTCCATTCCCTTTAATAAATTTTCATGGGTCAAAGAATTTCTTGAATGGAAACGGTTGTTAGGGTTTTTTCCCTAATTAACGAGTTCTTATGCAGTGAAACTATTATTCCATTTTATATGGTGTGGCAAACTAATACTAGATGAACAATTGTAGGATCTACTTAAAAAATAACTATTAGATAATTAATATAAATACAATTTTTGAAATTGAAAAAAAAAATCACTGTCAAAAATTTAAAAAAAAATTACAAAATTTATGGGACCCACCTATGCACATTTGTTTATCCATTATTGATTTTTGATTCCATGTAGGACATCCTACATAGAATCGTGGTTGTATGATTAACTTCATGCACTATATGAGCTAGGGTTTTACTTCTTGATTAATCTCTGGCGTCACAAGGAAAATATTTTTCTCCTTACTTTATTTGTTGAAAACTAGCATTATCTGCTAACTTATAATGCAAGATTGCGAGAGTTTGATTAAACCTAGTATCTGATTTCTCTTTAATGATTTTCAAAAATAACAAAACTAAGTAGGATAACAATTAATTAGAAAATTTCTGAAAGGGAAGCGAGTTCCTAGGGTTTTATTCCATGATTAACCTAATGCAGTATGAGGCAGATATTTTTTCTTACCCTGCCTGATGGAAATCGTTTCCTACGTTGGATTTGAAGAAATCCAACACAACGGGGTAGGAACAGTTTAATGGGTAGCCAAAAGATAACGTCTCTTTCCAAGGCAATTTGGATAAGTATCGATGAGTATGGCCGCCAGAATAGCCCCACAAACTGCCTGGAGCCCTGCGAGCCCTTATTTTTTGGCAGGTTGGAAGCTTAAAAAAATTATTGATATGATGATGAGCCAAATTGATAAGATTAAGATCAACTCCATGATTGATAACTTGAAAGCAACCATGGTTTGAGCAAGCAGCTTTGATCATTTTTGCAGCTTCCTTTATTGCCTCCTCATCGCCTCTAAAGAATCCTTCAAGATCCACTGCTGGCTCCATAAGCTCTTTTTGAGCTCTAAATGACTCTTCTTTTGGCCAAACAAATTGTATGGGTACATTGCTAGTATTATTATTCCTGGCTTGGTTGTGAATAAAAGGCCAATCAAATATACTACTACTTGTTTTTTGGTTTTCTAAATTTAGTGGCGAAGATAAGATAAGTGTAGAGGCATTTGAATCCATTGGATAGATTTGAGTTATAATAATTGTAGACATGTGATTCATTTATAGACCTATCTTTTTTTTTTTTTTTTTGAGTGTTGCCGGTGATTAAGGCAATCATCTTTTTTAATAGTTACCAAGTATATCCTCTCCTCTCGCATTTAACATTTGGATAAAAGACTAAATTATTTTTTAACCGACTTTATTAAATTCTTATTTTTTAATATATCGATTCCACGATTCTGTATTGTATTTAATTATGAAACTTAATACACATCAATCATTAGACCAAGCTCTCTTGGATAGTAATAATTTTTTTAATGCCGTTGATTTTTTTTTCCTTTTGTTCTAAAAAGTATTTACCTACATCCAGTATTAACTAATAGTGAATTTTAAAAAAAATTGTCACATCTTTTTTTTTTTGTTAATTTATCTTTTTTTTTTTCCTTAGTGAAAAGACAATTGCCTTCATTTACGGTAAATAAAATTTTTTCATTGACTTTATGTATAAGCTCATGCTCATGCATGCAGCTAGATGCAGATGAGTCAAAATTTCCGCTCTTCTTTCCGGCCTAGCACAATTTAAAAAATCAAAATTACTATTTGGATTAAATGTATTAACGGATAAGATTTGTCTATACATAGTATGTGGGCTCACCATACATTATAAATTTTGGAGCATTGGATGACCAGATCAAGTTACATGAAAATATAAACAACTTATATATATCCAACAAATTTAATAATAATAATATACGTTCGCATTAAACGATTTTTCTTTTTTTCAAGCATAAAAATGTGTTTCGTTTTTGAGTCCCATTAACAAATAACTAGTCAACCATTAGTTATGTATTAGTTTACGTATTTTATTCTTAATAACATTTTATTTATTTATTTATTTATTTATTTTGTCAACCGTGCTTGCTGGCTACAATTGAGAATCAAAATAGCAAACTCAATTCTGAATTCTTTACAACTAAACTCCAATTGACAAACGTGCAAACTATTAGTTTTGAGATTTGCTTGTTTTCTTGGTCTATTAATTACTGGTATCAGAAATTTACTGGATTACGCATTCCGAAGAATTAATATTGTTTTAGCTGATGATCATAATCCTAAATATATGAAGATTTTGTAAATGAACAATCAAAAGTTTGTACTATATAAAAGATAGTCCACATCGAATTGTCGAGAAGGTTGTGATTAAAGTTGAAAAAATGGTAATTGGTGAGATATCAAATCTTGGTGTCTAATTCAAAACAGGCCCCTCCTGCCTCAAATGCCTAAGGAGAAGAGAAAACAAATAGAGCTAGAGAAGAATGAAGTGTTTCTGGCCGACATGAATAGCCAAAGCCATTTATTTTGGTATTATTTGGGTACCAAATAGACAAAAACCATATCACGTGAATTAATATGTTTTCTCATTATCACAAAACGACATCATTTTCTTGGAGGATTGGAGAGTCCTTATTGTGACATTCTAACCCTACATGTCTCTTCTATAAGCCAAGTAGCCAATGCACTCCCTTAATCATACGTATTCTCTCGCTACAATATCATTTATTAGGTCGCGGCAAAGACACATGCTATGCTACTTTCTTGTGCCCATTAATTATTTTTCTTTTGGCGAGAGGATCTTCTTGAAGCAAACCTCTCGAATTCAATAATGCTCTTTTATTGGAATGATACATACAAATATATTGATTTAATTTTTTTTAAAAGAACAAATGACAAAAAACAAAAATCTTTAATTTAGAAACTTTTTATAATTTTCATCAATATTTGAAATTTTATTAATAGATAATTTCTTATTTATTTTTAATCAAAATTGTGTCCGAATTTAATTCATATGACCATCGGGACTAATTTAATTCTTTTATTTTTTCGGTTTTTTGTATATTCAGTGTGGTTTTAATTTGAAAGTTTATATACTTTCAGTTTTAATTCTTGGTTTGGTTATACAAACTAACGGAACTAATCAAATCAATTGAACCGAAGAGTTTGATTCAGTTATTTGGATAGTAACAGCTTCGGTTTGAAAAAACAAAGGAAAATTCGATTCCGAAACCAAACCACCATGCTCACCCCTAAATATGACCGTTAAAACTGACAATATGTACCTCATATCTTTTACAAGATCAAGATATATGTACCTCAATATTTAATTTGAACTACAAAATAATTTATTTGTATCTTTTATATTTAGATTGCTTTTCTAAAACATTCTACTTATGGGTATGCATAGATAAGATTCTGCCATTATGCATTAATTGCATTAATGGAGGAACAGATCACGCTAGAAGCTCCTTTGATTGCTATATTTCTACAAATAAAAATTTAAATTCTCCAATTAAATAAAATCAAATATCATATATTTATTTATTAATAAACTCTTAGAAAGAAGATATTAAACCTTAAAAAAACGAGAAGAAAAATTCTAAATAGCAAACAAAGCAATAATAATAAAAATATATAAAAAAATATTAAACCTTAAAAAACGAGAAGAAAAAATTCTAAAATAGCCAAACAAAGCAATAATTAATAAAAATATATAAAAATAATATTATGGAATATAATATAGTATATATATATAATATTATATATTATATTATATATGTGTGTGTGGGCGCCCTGTGTGTTGAATTTATTTAAAGCGGAATAAAAAAATAGAAGTTTATAATAATAAAAGCCGTTGAAAGATTATGGACAAGTGCTGATTAAGGATAACAATCTCAAAATCAAAAACTAGAAAATAATTGAGTTTTTTTTTTATTTTTTTTTTTTTTTTTTTTATTGAATCGAGAAGTTTTCAATTAGTATGATGTGTTAGGTTCACACTATCAATTTTAATAATTATATTAGCTGAATTTATATGGCAGATGTATAAACTATTTTATACATTTTAATAATTATTTTATTTGTGCCTTGCTTTATGGGAGTTAATGAATTTAGTAGATAAGAGGAAGGACATAAATTCAATCGATTATCTCTAGCCTACTAACCTAAACTTGGAGTAGCCATTTTCTATTAGCCATTAACATTTAGCATTGAACATATTTGTAGCACACCAACGTATGACTTGTATTTTTTTTATCCTTTGAAGATTCTGTCGTAGAATCTTTTCTTAAATTCAATCGAGGATTTCCGTTTCACTTTTAAAGATAAATTTTAAAATTTTAAAATTTTTAATTATCTATATGGTAATTAATAAAAAAAAAAAGATTACATAAAAGAAACGTTCTATCCTCTCTAAATAAACCCTCAATTTTTCCTATATCCATATAAATATAGTTTTTTTCTTTTTTATCTCATCTTAAACAAAATATTTTAAATTATAATCAAAATAAAATTAAAATATTTAAAAAATAAAAAAAAATTAAGTATAAAAATTTTCAAATGTCCTCGTTATCATATATATATATATATTATATATTATTATATATAATATATATATTAAAAATTATATTTAAAAATGATAAAATTGAAAATTCAAATTCTTAATTATCTCTATGTATTTATTTAAAATAATTTATATAAATATATCCAATTCAACTAATAAAATATAATTCTAATTTGAATATAACTAAGTAAAAATGATAAAATTGAAAATTTCAAATTCTTAATTATCTCTATGTATTTATTTAAAAATAATTTATATAAATTATATCCAATCAACTAATAAAATATAATTTTCTAATTGAATATAACTAAGTTTATTTTAAAATATTCTAAATTTCATTAGAAGCAATATCAAAACCTCATTATTCTATATTCCCACATATATATTATAGATATATACTAAAATGCAATGTTGGTTTAATATTCGAGTAACAATGCCACAAGGTTGGGCGACTCCTCACATATAAAAGAGAAATTTGCCAGGCTTTGGGGCTCTCTCACATTTTCTTTTCATTTGTTTATTTTTGGACCAATTTTCTAGCATTTTGTCCCCCGACTGTTTATCTTTTTTATAGTAACTTTTTTTCTTCCTTATATTTTGATTTCAATCCTGTTGGATCCCAAATTAAAAAAAGGAAGAGAATCAGAAGATGAAAGATTGGAAAAAAAAAAGCCCATAAGAGCAAATCTAGTAGGCCCATTATCAAGACCAAGACTGATTTAAACCCGACTAAATCGAGATTGAAACCTTTATTTAAATTTCAATAAATTGAATACCATAAATGAGCTATTTGGTTGAAACTTTTTGTAGGCAGCTGCTCTTTAAAATTCACACGGTTTTTCTTTTTTTGTTTTACGCAATCCATATTCCATTCTTCAGGAGATCATAAAATTTAGATATCGAACATCTATCAAGCTTTTAGTGTTTGAATAGAATAGTAATTAATTGCAAAATGGATTTTGGTTTACTTGAAGCAAATCCAGCCTAAATGTTTTATGGTCTCTCAAATCAAAACAAGGACACAGGTTGTCAATTATTTGTTTCATATTTCTTTATTTGCAGTTGTAAGTTTAGCTATTTTAAATTTTATTCCCTATTGTTATTTGTCCTTTTTAATAGTTGTACTCGCTTGAATATAAGTATGACGGTGCATTTTATTATTTTTTTGATTCGTCAGAAGGGATCAATGAACTGAAAGAATATTGTGAGCTACATAATAAGAATGATTCTCTCATTTACTCATCAAATCGGTGAAAACAATAATGATACAAATGGGCCGCATTTGCTTCTTAATTCTTACCTCAGTAGTACTTTGAAGAAAAATTATCAAGAAAGCTAATTCATTAAGCACAAAACACAAATATATACATTTCAAAAAAAAAAAAAAAAATTAGTATCCACTATGAAACAACAAAGCAACCAAACATGAAATAAATTCCAATCAATCAATGCATGTGATCACTACAGAAATGTGATCCAGTTGATAATTTTTAACCTATTCATGAATTTTCTAATAAATGAATAAACATCGGAATAAACAAAAAAGAAGAAGAAAAATCTGAATTTTGCACAACTCGCCATGTTAAAAATGCATGCACACAATTAATTAGTTAACTTATTTTTACAGGAATATAAAGCAATCCAAAGAAATAAGAGGATTATCAATATCTTCCTCCATAGGAACTGACTCACTATCATGCTGAGCTAAAGCTTGTTGAACTGCAACTTCATTGATTTTCGAACTTATTCGATGAATGCAAGTCTGTCTATTATTCTTCAAACAAGAACGAGGATTACGGTGATTCTCCTTTCTTGAAGATAAAGAAGAAACAGAATAATCATTTACCTTACAATTACTAACCATGGGTTTCGAACCATTTTCTTTTATCGAAAACCCTCTTCCATTAAACCGCCTGCTAGCAGATGGCGACTTCAAAGGTAAAGAATGCAAAGAATTAATTCTTTCTGCTTCTCTGCGAAAGCTCTTTTGTCGATTCAGTGGAGTTGGTGAGTCTGAACGAATTCTCTTCTGCGGTGTAGATTTATTTAATTTTTGTGGGATTGAATAATTTTTCACCGGAGACTCCAATTTTCTCGAATGTACATTAGGAGGAGTGAGGAATTGAGAACATTCCTTAATCGAATTAATACGAATAACGTGTGGGTTTTCCTTGATGCACGACCATAAAAACTCGTTGGAAAATGATCGATCTTTCAAGGTTGAGATCGATGATGAGGATCCACTAGAGGTTGATGAAGATGAGCTAATAGTACTGGTACTAATACCGTTACTAGAATTATTAGTACAAGTAAAAGAAGAAATAGAAGAAGTAGAAGAAGTAGTAGGTGAAGGAGGAGATATAATTGGGGTAATTTTATTGGATGTAGGAATACTAATTGGAGTTTTAGGGTTTTTGGGAGGTTGTGAGATTATGACAAGCTTGTCTTGAACAAGATTGATGTCTTGTATGGAATTTTTCTTGGGTTTGCATTTGCTAATGCAACAGCCCATTTTTAGGAACTTGAATTATCAGGTATAGAAAGGAAAGTGAAGATAGGGACCATATAAGCTTAAGGAGCATAGACATGGCCATTTTTCTTTTATATAGCCTCGGTTTTTGAATATGAAAAGAGGAAGTGAAACAAAAGTAAAAGGGTGGCTTTTGCTTTTATGCTTCTTTTTCAGGTTTTTGAATTTAGTTGCCGGGTATTGAGTCCGTTGGCTAACGGTTAAAACTTAAAACGGCAATTTTGAACTTTTTATACATTGGTGGTTGGTTGCTTTTTTACATTTTAACTTTTATTATATTTTTAGTGCATGTTTGAACACGTAATTCTAATATAATTAACCAACAAATATTCTCATCGTGCAGTTAGCCACTAGCAATTTGTGGGGTATTTCTTGCAATATTATAAGAGAAACATAAATCCTACTATCTTAGGCTGCAATAATGGTCCATTTTGAATAAAACATACGTTTGCCTATTACCATTCTCCTGTTAGGAAAGACTAAAGAGAATTTGCACGTCTCAATCAAATTTTATTTCTTCCTATTGTGTAAGGCTGCAATTGCATACAATAAAATAATAAAATATCAATCAGCTGTGATTTAGTTGATCTTTTCCCATTAATATAAAAAATGAGAGTCCTTAGGTTGAAATCCTCTCAACTGCAAAAATTTTAATTGATTTGATGAGATAAAGAGAGAGTTACTCATATTGTTGTATACCATAACGTTATTTTGACCATTGAACCACTTTATAAATTAAAAAAAAAAAAAATAGACGACATAATAATAATAGTAATAGTAATAATTAGTGCCTTAATTTAGTGATGTTGAAATTATTTAGATTTAGATGCCAAGTTTAAAATCTTTTTATTTTCTTTTTTTTATTCAAGTGTGAATTTTTATATTGCTGATATTCGAATTTGGCACAAGATTAAATTTTATAATTTGAGCAACCACAAATCACTATCTTGATAGCCAAAAAAAAAAAAAAAAACAAGATTAAAATTTTTTTTATAATTTGAGCAACCACAAATCCACTATCTGATAGCCAAAAAAAAAAAAAAAAGACTAAGGGTGTGTTTACTTACAGGAAACAGTTTTTTATTTTAATTTTTCTGTTTTTTAATAAAACAGTTTATCTTTAGAAAAATGAAAACTAGAAAACCAGAAATGAAAAATATGTTGACTTTGATTAATAATTTAAAAAATTATATATTTTAATTTAAACTTCACAAACATTAATCATAATTTTCAATTAATTTAAAAAAAATAAAATATTTTTATAAAATAATTAAAATTTTGTGTGTAAAAAAAGTTTTGCATTTTACTATTGATTTTTATAATAATAAATCATTTTTTATTCCATTTTTGTAAAATTTTTTAAAAATCAAAAGGATTTATAATATATTTGTAATAATAAAATTAATTATTTATAAAAAGCATTAATATAAAATTTTATTTACTTAAATATTTTTATTTTTTTTAAATGAAAATAATTTTATAGAAAAAATTTATTTATAGATTCATTATAATTTTAATTATGAAATATCATTTTAAAAAAAATGAAAAAATAGAAAAAATTATTTATAGATATTATAATTTTAATTATGAAAATATCATTTTAAAAAAAATGAAAAAAAGTTATAAAATATGTCTTTTATTATAAAAGAAAACTTTGGAAAGCAACTTAAGTTGTTTTCTAAATTTTAGTTAAATTTTAAAAAATTGGAAAACTGATTAATTTAAATACAAAATTCTGATTTTCAATTTTTTTAAAAATTTTTCTAAAAAAATATTCCAGTTTTCTATAAATGCGCACACCCTAAAGTACTCATTTATACAGATAGAGTATGCAAATGTAGCTCGTCTCTATAGCCAAACCGACCAAAAATTCTGATTCAGCATGATGTGGAAAAGAGAAAAGAGAAAAGAGAAAAAAAAGCTATATATGGCTGAAATCTCACACATAGCCGTAGGTTTGAATTTTTTGCAGAGATTTAACATGTTTAACGGCTAACTCCTCTAATTTTCAATAATTAATTTAGTTATGTTTGATTTCACAAAATCAAATTCTTAAAATTGAAATAAACATTTCTTAATATACCAAACATTAAAAATCAGAAATTCAATTATATTTTAAAATTTTTTATGGACTTCATTTATATACTAAACTAGAGGTAAATATTTGATTTTTGAAATTAATAATTGTTAATTAAAATTATAAAATTAAAGACTGAAAAATAGATTACACATCTTCCATAAAAGAAAAAGTTACTATATTTTCTTAGCTGGCAAGAGGAGATAGATAACCTAAGGACGAAGGCCCCTTGAGATGGCTGATACACCTTGGGATTTATTATTATTAATAATACATACTAACTCTGGACTATTGCACATTCAGCACAGCAGGGATCTAAAAATCCAATGGGCTATTATCCACTCTTACTGAGGCTGCTATTGGGCCTTTTGATCCAATTATAATTGGGCCTTCTTGGATTGACAGAAGATGATCATTTTATTGTGATTTCTGGATACAATTCTATTGCACTTGTTGCCAACCACCAATAGGCAAGGTGGATTAGGATAGGAACTAATTAACCTTCTAGTAAAAGATATGGAGTAATGAAATTTGAGGGTTAATTACTCTAGCTAGGTAGTAAACTTAAATCAACTAATTTACATTATGTGACTAATTAAAATGAAATTAGGGTGGTCATTAGAATTGGAAAAGTGAAATTCAGCAGTCATTTATTTATAATTTAATTGGTTGGAGTAATTTTAGAAAATGACCATTAATGAATTCTAGATAAATAAATAAAAATTTTATTGAAGATGTTAAGCATAAAAAAATTCCAAGCATTACTCTTATTTATGAGTCGTTCAATGTTTGAGGAAAAAGTCTTGGCGCGGGCTCACCTTATCCTCTCAATCAGATTTAATCTAAACTTTTGTTAATTTATCATGAAATTGTCAATTTTGTCTTCTGGTTCCAATTTGTCTTTGCATAAAAGTGCCCTAGCTTTAAGAAATCCACTGGCCAGAGCATGGTCCTTACAGGTGAGGAAACAGTGATTTTAATTTTTTTTTTTTTTTTTTATGTTAAAAGTGGCTTATTTGAGTAACAGCTTTTCATGGTCTTTACAGAATTCGTATCTGATTTTTTTTTTCCAGGACTGCCCCCGCTCTTCTAGCACAAAAGCATCTTTTTCAGCCACCTAACACTAAACCCTGACTCGGCCACTTATGGAGAAATTTTCCTGGTCCCATTAACCTCCCAAGAGAACTTTCTTTGCGTTCCAGAAAAGCCCCACGAAAGCATAGAAATATTTTTTGCTTCTTTAGTTTTTACTCTGTTGGAGACAAAGAAGAGAAAAAAAATGGGGATATTTGGGTTCCTCCAAGATCTACGTCAAGCCAGAGGAAAAAAAATGAAGAAAAGAAACAGTTGATGAACTTTCTTTTGCTTTTGAAGAAATATTTTAGTATTTTTGCAAGTAATATAGCCAAAATATAGAACAACGCGGCTATACATGAATCAGTTCATGTTACCGCCACATATATGAATCAGAATCTCACTAAGCTAATAATCATGTAGCATACACAAATATGCGGTGTAACTAATCAAGAAGCGGCGGAGTTGGAGGAGAAAGTAGGGAACAAATCAGCCAAAATCTTCATCATCACATTTCCTCTCCTGGGTGGTCCTATTGGCCTCACTGCCTGACCGACTCCACCACGGCGGCCGTCTACATTCCCAGTGCCAGCGTTTCCCTGACTATTCATGCTCTTTTCTTTTGCTACTGCTTGTTCATTCGGTTCAAAAAAATCAGCCCAAATCTTCCTCATCACATTTCCTCTCCTCGGCGGTGCTATTGGCCCTTTCCTGAAAGCTGGAGAACGGAACGCCTGACCCGCTCCACCTTGGCGAGTGTCTCGACCGCCACTGTCCGCGTTTCCCTGACTAGTCATCCTCTTTCTTGTTGCTTTCACTGTCAAAACAGAGGAAAAATTTTAAAAAGGAGAGGTCATGTTAGTTCTTTAACTCATGTAAGGATTTAAAGGCGAGGACCACAAACAACAGTTTGGGCGTTTTGGTATGGGCCCCAAGGAAGGGAAGAATTAGAGGTTTTTACGTCGACGAGGAATCCATGCTTAGTGTTATGCTAACATTCACTTGCAAGGCAAATATGGAAACCATACTATTATCCTATTGGATATCAATATGTTGTGATTACAGATACTAAAATAGACGGTGTTGATTTTAAAACCTAACAAGTAAGAACTAATACTCAAGGCTGTACCCGGCTAAATATGGTTCTTGCTTTTATTTTTTATTATATTATCTAAAAAAATTATTTATTTATTTATTTAAATTAATGCATTCTGATATTTTTTTTAACGTTGCTCATTTTAATTAATTATATTTATAAATAAAATTATCAATATAAGTATTTAATCAATCATTTTGTTGATAGTTGGACATTATTTCAAAATGTAATTAAAAAAAACTGAAATTTGAATTTATATAAATTATTTATTTCTTAAAATTTATTATTAACATCATTAATGATATTAATTTCAGCTCTATGAATGTTTAAATAAATTATAAAGTAATAAAAAAATTAAATGAAAAAAATCAATTATAAAGTAATATTTTGTTTTTGTTTCTTTTCTTCTCAAAAAAAAAAAAAAAAAAAAAAAATTAAAAAGTAATATTTTTGGTTTTTGTTTCTTTTCCTTCTCAAAAAAAAAAAAAAAAAAAAAAAACCTTTCACCACCCAACCAAGAAAAAAAAAAAAAAAAAAAAAATTCCTTTCACACCCAACCAAGAGAGGATGAATTAGAATGGGAACTAAATTAACCTTGTAACAAAACATATGGAGCAATGAAATTTGATTGTTAAATCAACCAATTGAAAATTATGTGGCTAAAATGATATTAATTACGTATATCTATTTGATATTTTCAATTTCATTTCTTTTAAAGGTGAGGAAACAGTAATTTTAATTTTTTTATTTTTTGAGAATTACAGTGATTTTAAATTTGAATATTCTCGTCCATATGAGTTTTCAATAATGCTGTAATAATTAATATAAATTAGCATAATAT